TAAGGACACCAGGGAGACGATCAAGGGGCGGCAGTAATGTCCCGCCCGGTGGTGGATTCCGCTGCGATTATCTTGGGTGTAAGGCAGCTCCATTCCAAACGCAGTATCTTCTCAAGTATGTGGCCCCTTTGCTTTTTACATGAAATGTCACAATGGTTATTTTATATGAGTATTGGAGTTTTTGGGCCCTGAACCGCTAATCTGCAACTTTACACAGTTCCCACGCCAATGTGCACTCGCAAGAACGCCCACACTACTGTCCAGTTCCTGACTGTCCACGAGGGATCACTGGGAAAGGATTCAAACGAAAAAACGAGATGATCCGGCATGGACTTGTGCACGATTCTCCTGGATATATCTGCCCATTCTGTCCTCAAAGGGAACATAAGTATCCAAGACCTGATAACTTGCAGAGGTGCGTCATGAAGTTTTCCTCTTTTCTTGAGATTGATCTGGGGGCTGGAATAATTAATAACTATGATGTGACAGACATGTTCGCGTTCATCACATGGATAAAGACAAAGATGATCCCCTTCTGAGAGAAGTACTCTCACAGAGGCCAGAGGGTGGGAATAGGGGACGACGACGGAGGGCGGTGGGGAGCGCAGGCCCTGCCTGAACATCTAAAGACGTGCGACAGTATTCCTAAACACTAGTGATGACTTGGGGATCGAAAACTCGGTGGGCACGCGCTTTCTTGTTATCGCTATTTTCTATTTGAAGATTAGCACATGTGGGCTGGGAGTAATTTGTTCGGATTGGGGTTTTCGAGATGAATCTATGATTTTCTTATTAGGGGAAATGCGGCTTGTGGAAGAAGTGGGAAAATAGGAAGCATGGTGATCAAGCCGTTGGGTTGTCCAAAACTTGGAGTAATTGGTATTGGGAAATTTGTGCTTCTGTTGACTTGTACTGTAGTAATTCCAGAAATACACCCAAGTTAATACAGCTTCTCTTGACTATAAAGGCAGAGGCGGAATGGAAACACATCTTGGCCCTAATGTCCCATTATTTGGAAAAGCTCTGGCAGTCACAAGTAGAGTCAACTGAATTCAAAAGGCCTCCAAAACTGTTAAGGTTCCAGAGCTTATGCCAAGTGACATCACGTGCGTTCTCAATCCCACCAGCTTCATCACAGCTCAACACAGCTTCCTGCCATCTCTCTTTCTCACCACCAACACCGTTACCATGTCTCTACAAGTTAAGCGCTTTTCCATGTCCAAAAACTCATGCCTCCCTGAATTAACATTCCCCAGGATTCCATCTACGCCGACGCCGACGACTTTGCGCAAACCCGCGGTGCCGACGACCTCTTCGAATCCGAAATCCAACCCGCACCTCTCCCATCGCCGCCCTCCAATGCGCCGAACGGCCCCCGCACCCAACGGGGAAGGCGAAACGTATGTACACCACCCCACGGGAAAGGCGAGATGGAGTTTCTGAGGGCAGAGCGTTGACATGGAGATCTACATAGTCGTCTGGACACCGTGGAGGGCATCGCCGACAATCTGATGCTCGACGAGCCCCCGTCGATGCGCCAGAGAAACTGGAAGAGACCGACAACACAGAGACTGGTGGAGAGCCACGGATTCCGACGGCAGCGGATGGCAGGAATGCTCCTGCCGCTGCTGCCACCGGGAATCGCCTGATGAGTGGTGGCGTGAGCAAAGTGAGTTTTCTGTACCGGCGGCTTCGAATGGATGATACTGATGAACGAACAGCCGAAACTCACGGAGGAAGAGCTCGCGGCGCGGATGGAGAAGATCCGGCTCAACAACAAGAAACTCACCGAACGCCGGAAAGCAGCGGAGGAGGATGAGACGAATTTCGAGAAGCAGGAGGCGTTGAGGAAGCAGAGTGATGCGAAACAACGGTTGCTGGATCGGAAAAAGAGGATTGAGGCCGAGAAGAATCGGAGGGAGATGAAGTATGTTTTCCGCCAATTCCACACTTCCAGTCGGAAGACAGCTATGCTGATGTTTGAATAGTGAGGAACGTGAACGGAATCGTCAACGCAAACTCAAGGCTTTCCAAACCCGCGAATGGGACGTGGAGAAGAAAGAGGAAGACTACAACCCAAGCTCTCTGCCCCGGTATCGTCGGGGCGCACATGGAGCAGTTGTTGGGGGGCAAACGACACAATCAAGACCGAATCCTCCCGCAGAACAAAACAACCCTCCACAAGCACCAACATCGCCAGCTGAGAAAATGACATCCCCCAAGGCAGACACGAAGACTGAGTGGCCTGCTTTACCCGGCGCGGAGGAGACGCCCAAGGCAGATGTGCAGAGTAAACCGCCACCGATATCGTGGGCGGCGGAAGTGGCGAAAGATCAGTCTAGTTGGGCGGATCAGGTGGAGGAAAATCCTCCGGCGACGCCAAAGTAGCTTAAGCTGTAGAAGCTTGTCAGTGGTTTTCACACAGTGGAGTTGCCTTAGGTTGCTAAGGTTGGGGGTTGTACCGGTATACGCTTCTTCAGCGCCTGATAAGAACTAATCCAATATAGGCCGGATTTTGAATATGTTGATGAAGGTTTTGAGTTTCATGAGCCCTGAGTCCCGATTTTAGAACACGCGGGTAGCAATATTGTTGTTTAATACCTGAGCCTATTTTCTACGATTAATTGAATATCCGGGTTATGAACTGCTTTTCATCCGAGGTCTTCTCGTCGTAGTCATTTTTAATCCAGTTTTCAGGCTCTCTGGGACAGTTGATGCTTCCAATATCATACAGACGTTAACCAACCAATATTTCACCCCGTCACACGTCATCCCTGACTCCGCAACGCATCCTCCCAAAACGCCTCCTCCAACCTCGTAGCCTTCAAAAATATTTCCTCCAACCGCTCCACCTGCCCACTCCCCATCCCCTCCACGGCCCTCTCAATCATCCCTCTCATCGCATCCACCGACCCCACATATTCCTCACTCGTATAATTCTCAATCCACTTCCAGTACACATTTCCCTCCCTCTTAGTAGTCGGGTCATCTCTCAACTGCCGCGCAATAACAGCATACCCAACCGCACATGGCGCCATTGCCACCTGCAGTGCCAGGAAATCCATAGAATTACCAATGTCGAGGACATAGCGCGTGTAGGCAGTGCAAGCGGAGGATTCGGCGGCGGACTCAATCTGTGATTTCGAGATGCCGAAGGTGGAGCAGTAGTTGAGGTGGAGCTGCATTTCGATTTGGATGTGGCCGACGAAGGCGGCAGATTCGGCGATGGTGGACATGTCGTGGCTTTTGTAGGCTGCGAGAGCGTTGGCGCGGGCGAATTGTATCTGGTATTGCGTGTGTCAGCGCGGATGTGGAGAATGGAGTCTGGGTGGGAGATGTACCAGGAAAAGGTAGTCTTGGATTAGGTAGAATTTGAAGACCTCGAGATCCAGCGTTCCGGCGCCGAGTTGTTGGACAAACTCATGGCGGGTGTAGGCATCCCAGTTGGCTTGGATTGTGGGATGTCCAATGAGGTAGTCTATGAACTTTCCTGACGGAAATGCGACTTGTTGGTTGCTGTGGAGGTGATTTATAGGCCCTTTTCCAGATCCAAGTTTTGGTGCGCTTTCGATGCCGGCTGAAACATAATTACAACCCGCTCGGATTGAGTCCACTGGGGATAAGCCCTTGGCTAGATTGCTGGCAATGGCAGACGCCAGTGAGCACCCCGTGCCATGGGTGTTGGTACTGCGCCATATCAGCCTGTGATAAGAGAATTGATATCCATTTATGGGTACCTTGAAATATAGGGGGTTTCGATAAGTGAAACCTCGCCATCGTAAAACACATTCACGACCTTTACCATGTCAGATTCTTTATCGGCCAGGTTTCCGTGTTTATCCATGGGGCAATGGCCGCCTTTGATGAGAACGGTATCAGGCCCTAGTTGGCGGATCCGTTTTGCCAGGAAAATGAGGTCTTCCACGGATTTAATTTCAGGCGGCTCAGTTCCCGTCGACTTCAGTAGCAATGCAGCTTCGGGCGTGTTCGGAGTGAGCATGAAGGTTTTCGGGAGAACTCGTTCTATGAGAACTGACACTGCATCCTCCTTCAACAAGTGGGACCCAGATGTTGAAACCATTACCTGGAGGTTGTCAATACAGCCCTACACGCTTTTTTCGGAGGAATTACCGGATCGAGAACTAAATCATACTTTTCGCTACCTGCCTCCAAAACATTCATCACCACCTCAATGGTCTCCCTCGCAGCTAGCATACCGATCTTGATGACATCCGGCTTGATATCATCCAGAACGGCCTCCAAAGAGGAGCGCACGAAAGACGGCGGGACTACATGAATATCCCGCACACCGCGCGTGTTTTGTGCGGTCAACGCCGTGATAGTAGTCATTCCATAGCAGCCGTGTGTGGTAATAACCTTCAAATCGGCTATGAAAAGCGTCAGTTTTCGATAGGGCTTGTGATATGATGCGGAGTTGAGAAACCTTCAATTCCGGCGCCGCCAGATGGATCCGACCCAGCTATGGTCAGGACCTTTGGGGGAGTCACGGTGCTCATGGTGAGAGTGGATGGGGGGCAAGAGGAGCCGCGGATTGTGGGTGACTGGGTGGATGATCCATGGCGGTGTCCGGGGTCTTGAATTGTCACAGTAGTTGCATCGGTGTTGCGCACTTGATGACTCCATTCCGCTTGGTGCCGGAGACGCAGCCATGCATGTCACTCCGAGCAGAATGACTAATGAACCGTGATTATCACTCTTGCTGGAGTCGCATCCATGTAGTTAGTTAAGTGAGCATTGAATGGAATGATTTACATACTAGTACAATGATCTAGGGCCAAATTGTGCAACACTTCCAGCCCTAGTGGGGGTCACCCCGGCTCGATTGAGCCGCGCTGAAGTTGACGATGATGCTGTCAAATTAATGGAATGGGTGGATGAAATAACTCCTTTCTGATGCCACAAAAGAATAAATATAGTGAGATGGATGTCTAGGTATGGCAGTGGTATATAAGCAGGTGCCATGAGTACCAAATATTCACTCCTCTGTACTGTAACGGCAACATACCTATTCTTATCCAACATATTCTTAGAAGAGATTCCCGGTTCAAATCCGGGCAGAGGGACTTTCATTTGAGTTCTTTATTTTGGGGCGTGCACTGACCACCTGCTGCCACCGACGGTGATCGAGTCTGGGTCATATTGGATTGGGTTCATATTTTATCACTCGCAATCAACTATGTCCAGTGGTTGGTCTCCCATACTGGACTAATGCCGCACTCATAGGACCCAGTAACACTCGCCACACCACGGCATGACAGGGACCAATTAATTACCTCCAACTGACTACCCAAGACTGTATTACATATTTTGTGCAAATTTGGACCATTATGACAATAATTATCACTTGTACCACATTATTCCACACATTTGATCTTGGTATCCAACTCCTACATTGCTCGAATGTCTGCCAGAGCGAGTGATAATAGAAACTGCTAGGACACGTTCCCTCAGTTCCACTCCTCCACTCCTCAGAAATTTCACCAGCTACTATACCACTTTGCTTCACTCTTTCCCCCACCAGCCTGCCTAGGCCACTGGCCCATGGCTTCCCGCTCGAAAGATCCATCACTCGAACCGCCTACTACCATCTTTAACCCACAAACTCCAATCCGACAAACGCTTCATCCCTCCCCAAATCTCAACTCCACTACCCCAAATCCCACAGCATCAGCGACCAACTCTCTCCGCGTCCCGAACGATCGTTATCACCCGATATCGAATAGCAGCCACCACAGCCAGCGCGTCCCCTCACCAGAACCACCGCTCATCTACCACGTCCCTCGGCTGTTGACGCCCGACAAGCGAGATCACGACATCGCACTGGGGAAATATCCAAGGCTGGCACAGAGGGTTAGTCCGTATGCTGGGAATCGAGCTCATAGCCCGAGCGTGATGTTGGAGGAAGGGGTAGGCACAGGGTACCGAGCGGGAAGTATAAGGAACGCGAAGTCGGGGCTGGATGGGGCTATGAGTATCAACTTGATGGGAAATCGGATTGGTAACCCCTCTGGCCGAAGGGATGAAGTTGGAAACAGAGTTCGGGATGTGGGATTAGGTGCACACATGAAGAGTGAGAGTTGGAGTAGTATTGATACCGAGGAGCTGGTGAACTGTTCTTGGTCGTGGAAGAAAGTGAAGCGCTTGGTGAAAGACTGGGCTATGGGGAAGAGATGAAGAAATGAGTGGTACTCAGTTTTAGTACTTAATTGACGCCTTGCGTAGAGTGTACAAGGGCTTCACCTGAGTGAGCATCACCATGAGAACATATTGGTCAAATCATACAATGGTGTTAACTAATCATGGTTACACAAACTATATTGCAGCTGCAGCCAAGCCTTGATCTCTTCTGTCCCTCTCGCAGAAAAAAGTTCCTGCGACGAATCTTCAGCGACAACCTATCAACAACACCTCTCCCACCTACCACTCCTCCTCCTCCTCCTCCTCCAATTCCACACAATGGGCAAATCCCGCGCGCGCTCTCACCAGGGTCCTCCCGAACCACTCCAGTCTGAAATCTCCACTTCTTCCGCCGCCCTCAAGAAACGAAAAGCTGCCGACAACGATGCCCGGGGCGCAAAGAAGCGCAAGCCCACCACCGCAACCTCCACAAAGTCTAAATCCGTCGAGAAGAAGACCAGTACCAGCAAGGCCAATGGCGCCAAACCGGCAAAACCAGTAAAGAAACCAGTAAAGAAGGCGCCAGCGCCCGTGGAGGAATCAGAAGACGAGTGGGCAGATGAAGACACGGGATTCGGTTCAGATCTTGATGATGATCAGGATGAAGAAATGGATGGCTTGGAGTTGAAGGACGATTTCTTGGCCGGAAGTGATATGTCAGATGACGACGACGACGACGATTCAGTAGTGGACTCTGATGAGGAAGCTTCAAAACCAAGACACATCTTCTCGGAAGATGAAGGCGAAGACAGTGATGCAGCAGCAGAGATGCTTACGGCTGCCAACATTGAGGGTCTCTCGCGCAAGCTCGATATGGAGCAAGCACGGCTCGACGAAGAAGCCGAGGCCGAATTGAAGGAGTCCGCAATGCAGACCAACATTGCGGAGGAGAAGGTGATGATTCTCGGAGACGCTGGACAAGATGAAGATGGCGACACCACTATGCAACATGCTCCTCCTGATATCACCCTTCTCCGTACCCGCATCACCGACACCATCCGCGTTCTGGAGAACTTTTCAGAGCTACATGAGGAAGGCCGTTCAAGGAGCGAGTACACAGCTGCTCTTATCCGTGATATTTGCAGCTACTACGGATACTCCCCATTCATGGCCGAGAAGCTGTATCAACTATTTTCCCCCTCCGAAGCCTTCTCCTTCTTCGAAGCCAACGAAAAGCAACGCCCCTTGGTCATCCGTACCAACACCCTGAAAACCGCACGTCGCGAACTCGCACAAGCCCTCATCAACCGCGGCGTCACCCTCGAGCCTGTTGGCAAATGGTCGAAAGTCGGACTCCAAGTATTCGAGGCCCCCGTCCCTCTTGGAGCAACCCCCGAGTACCTCGCTGGCCACTACATCCTCCAAGCTGCCTCATCTTTCCTCCCCGTCATGGCTCTCGCCCCGCAAGAACACGAGCGTGTTCTCGATATGGCTGCCGCTCCCGGAGGTAAAACCACCTACATCTCCGCGCTGATGAAAAACACCGGCTGCGTCTTTGCCAACGATCCCAGCCGCGACCGTGCCCGTGGTCTCATTGGTAATATCCACCGCATGGGTGTCAAAAACACCATCGTCTCCAACTACGATGCCCGCGAGTTCCCCAAAGTCATCGGCGGCTTTGACCGTGTACTTCTCGATGCGCCATGCTCCGGAACCGGCGTTATCGCAAAGGATCCCAGCGTCAAGACCAACAAGGACGCAAAGGACTTTATCATCCTTCCCGAGCTCCAAAAGAAGCTGCTCCTGTGCGCGATTGATTCCGTTGACCATACGTCGAAAACGGGTGGCTACATTGTGTACTCCACCTGCTCAGTCACCGTTGAGGAGAACGAGGGCGTCGTCGAGTACGCCCTGAAGAAGCGCCCGAACGTCAAACTCGTCGACACCGGTCTCACATTCGGAAAAGAGGGTTTCACCTCGTTCAGAGGAAAGACATTTGCCGAGAAGATGAAACTCACGAGACGCTACTACCCGCATATGTACAACGTCGATGGTTTCTATGTCGCCAAATTCAAGAAGATTGGTCCGAGCCCGAAGGCAGCCAAGAAGGACGGGGCGAAGAAGGAGGGTGAGGAAGATCAGGAGGAGGGGCCTGTGGAGCCGGAGATTGAGTTTGGTGGGTTTGATGAGGAGGCCGATAAGGAGATTATGGAGAAGGCTGAGAAGAAGGCGGCGAAGAAGAAGGGGGCCAATCTCAATGCGAAGAAGGAGGAGAAGAAGAGTGTAGATGAGGAGAAGGCAGATGTGGAGGCGTCATCAGAGGCACCAGAAGCAGTAACAGAAGCTGCACCGGCAACAGCGAAGAAGGCGAAGAAGTCGCGTGAAGCTGGTAAGACTGAGACGGCTGAAAAGCCTGCTAAAAAGAAGACTGTAATTGCTGTTGGAGAGGCAAAAGCTTCAGCACCAGTGACGAAGGAGAAAAAGTCAGCATCTAAGGGGAAGAAAGCTCAAATGGAGAAACGGTGAACCTTTAGACGGGAAGTGATGGGTTAAAGGCGATCTGATCTGTATATATACCGTTAATGAATGGGATGATTGACAATTTATACGCTTAAGACACCTCTGAGTCAATCAGAGTTGAAGGGTGGAGGTCCAACTCGACAGCATCGTGCATTTTTTGCTAATGTAGGAGTGTCCTTTCTTCAAGACTGTCAAATCGCCTCAAATCAGGTACTAAGAATGGGTATGGGAACGTATTTGATTCAAGCAAAACTAGCAACTATCCAGCAATCTCCATCTGTTTCAGAGAACCCATGAATTCTAAAGCCACGCCAAAGTACAGCACCATTGATCCCATCCAAATACACGTGATATTATTGTTTCATAAACCCATCATGCCATCATTAGAAAAAGTAGAATCGGAATCTGAGAACCAACGCACAGCAGGCTTGATTACTTAGCCGCGGGAGCACCAGCGCCAGCAGCAGGCGCGACATCGGTCATCTCAACATCCATGACATCCGCATCATCCTCGGGCTCATCATCTCCCTCCTCGTCTGACTCACCACTGCTCTCTGCCTCAAGATCCTCAGACTCGGCGCCCTCATCAATCTTGGCGGCCGCCGCAGCGGCGACAGCATTGTCATCAACACCACCCATCTCAACATCCTCCTCCTCCTCTTCACCCTCAAGGGCAGCTTCCTTGGCAGCTTCGAGCTCAGCCTCCTCTGCAGCATACCTGTCCTCGTCGTCCTCCAAATCGTCAACGCCAGGCTGTTCCGGGGGGAACTCGGGGGGAGCAGAGTCCTCGGTATCCCTTTTCCAGGTCAGTTTGATCCTCGAATTGGGAGTATGTGTTGGTTTATACCATTTGATGGCGAAGCGAGTCACACGCGGCTTCTCGGCCAACATGTTCCGCACAAGACGTTCGGGCTGGACAGTCTTAGGGGGAGCATTCTGGAGCTCCTCGGAATCATACTCGTTGTTCTGGTAGTATCCGACGCGCACAAACTCGCGGCCGTCGTACGCACACGTCAACAAGACGACAGTAACACCGAGGAGCTCAGAAGTCGGGAGCTTGGAGATGTTAGGTGGGTCGGCCTCGAAGATGAACTTGTTGACACCGGTGGGAATGGGGCCAACAAGAAGACTGTCGAGTTCTTGGTCATGGTCGGAACTGTAAACAAAAATTTCTCTCGTGTCAGCTTGTGGTCTGAGCAGGATTGGGATGTGGTAGGACTTACGACGTCGCGGATCCAACATAGGTCAGTTTCCACTCGAGATCTGTTCAAAACGCGGGGTATTTAGCACCTGAGAAGCGACTGTGCACATCCCACAATGCGGATGGGCGCATTACCCTTCTGCAGGGACTCGAGACACTCAAAGGTGATCTCAAGCCTGTACTTGTCCGTAAAACGAGTCGGGTTGTTGAGGATCTTAACGTCAA